ACTGATGTGTTCGAAGCAACCCTCGAGATCTCCCTCTTCTAGCACCGACTGGTCCTTGTCTGGCTCTGGACCCACCATTTTGGCAATTTGAAAGAGTTCATCCGCTGACAAAGTGAGTAGGCTCTTTCTAATGTCCCACACTAGGCTCTTCCTCTCACTGTCCGCATCGTAGCTCTTTCCTTTTCCCTCACGTGCGGTTCCACAGTCCAGCAACTCCGTCTCTGCTTCAGTTCACCAGTCTACGCCCACATCCGTCTCTTTTCTCCCACAGCTTTCATGGATTGCAGCATCAGCTCAGCTCTGGTCCCAAATTTCATCTATCACTGGATCAGCTCCCAGCCTTCCGGTGGTGCCGATCCCGGACGAGCCACCAAAAATCTGTTACAGGTACCAGGGCTTGTACCAAGTAGACAGATGATAAGATTCTGCAAACAGGACACACAAATGACACAGGGCAATTTCACGTCTGTTCATCTCGCCTGCTCCTCAGAATCTTTTCATCTGTCTACTTGGTACCAGTCCTGGTACCTGTAACATTATCATGGACTCTAATTTTACTTTTAATGCCAACATCCATATTGTAACCAAAACTGCCATTTATCACTTGAGAAATATTGACAGAGTGTCCGTTTCTCTCCCAAGCCAATACTGAGAAACTTGTGCATGCTTTTATTACTAGCAGGCTCGACCACTGTAATGCTTTACTTTCTGGCCTACCCAAAAAAGCCATCGATCAACTTCAACTCAATAAAATTCAGCTGCTCGTGTATTGACCAGGGCCAGAAGGCGAGCACACATTACACCAGTTCTGAAACTGGCTACTTGTAAGTTTTAGAAGTAAAAGAAAGTAATCAAGTTACGTTACTTTAATATGGTGATACTTGGATAAGGATACTGATTCAAATTATTTTAGGAGGTAATTAGTATCAGAATATATTTTAAAAGTAAGCATCACAATCCTGCATTTCTGAAAATGTGTGTGGTCATGGCAATAATTCCCACAGTTTAGTTATGGTGTTGTAGCGGGATGCGACCTGTCTACGTATGCTGTTTTACCAGCCACTAGCTCCCTGGGTCGGCTTAATGGTCGTACAGTCTAGTGTTTGAAAGTATATTTTTTACTTACATTCTATACTGCCTGGGGAAGCTCCAGCTTCAAGATTACTTTAAGACAGATAGATTTCTGCATAAAACGTAACCCTGAATAACCCGCGTCAGAATCCTATGTATCTCCGTTATGTGCTACGTTATGTGAAGCAGTGGGATGACAGGTTAAGCTTTATGAAGTCCTTTCACTATGGGATAAGATATGCCGAATCATTTAATGGGGCTTATCTCGTTACCATAGTTATTGTATACAAGACCGGTGGATCTACCATATGCAAATAGCAACCTGGTTGTGATCACTTACTTGTTATGTCTTTTAGTCTAAAGTCTCCGAGTCACTCTCTGCAGGGACGTCAGTGAGTAGGGCCACCCGGAGCGTTCTGCGCCTTGTTATGCCATGGACCAAGCACTTAAAAGTACTTTTAAAACAGGACTCCCCTCTAATGTGGATTTCCAACCTCGTATTACAGAGGTTGTTGGTTTTATTTTATGATACAAAGATTAATAAATCACATTACAATCGGTGAAACCGGCGATACAATGTGTGAAATAAATGGATAGTTTAGACTCCTACCGGAGGTAAACCTCTAGAGAATCGTTTTGTGAAAGTAAGTGGATAGTTTAGACTCCTACCGGAGGTAAACCTCTAGAGCAGGGGTATTCAATTAAAATTCCAAAAGGTCCAGATTGAGAAAATGTCCTCAGGCAAAGGTCCGGAACATTACAATAATATCTAACTTGCACTATTTAGTGATATATATATATATATATATATATATATATATGTCAAATCAAATAAAGAAATAACATTTGGTTCACGAGATGCAGGTAGCATGTTTTATACTTAATGTGAGTATATTTCATTCTTTGTTGGCATCTTATTCTGAAAACCGGATGTTCGTCTGAAGAAACCGGATGTTGTCTCACGTTAATGTTTCCGCTAACTTTCAAAGTCCTTCTCTCGCTCCCGATCTGTGCCATTTAAATGCGTTTACCGTGAATTTCAGCATATAGGTGCACTAAAATTACTGACTATAGGATGTTTGCTGGCTTTTATCTCACTGTTCTTGTCATCCTCTTGTTGTTATGTATATGTATTGTCTCTTGTCTTTCAATTAAAAAAAAAAATTATAATAAATTTAAAAAATGCGTTAACGCGCGATAAAATAATTGTCGGCGTAAATGAATGAATGCGTTAACGCGAAATTAACGCGTTAACTTGCCCAGCACTAATTTTAACAATTATTATTCTCACTTTTCAAATTTAACTGGATGGATTATAAATAATACATAGAAATACATAAATAAATGTTCTTCTCATTTCAAGTAAAATAAGAGCTGGATTAAAGAATAACAGAAAGATTTTCAAAAATGTGCATCTTAAAATAAAATAATTCATTTTAGAAAAATTAATTTCACCGAGTTGTCCTGCAGCTTTAAATTCAGTTCATTCAGGTGTGAAGTGACGTCAATAAAAAAAGCCACAATATTATATTTTTGTCATTTAAAAAGAGAAATGTTTCTGCATGGACTTTATGTGTGGTTATTAACACTTGTTTCAGCTCTATCATCTCTGTTTACATCATTGTTGGTCAGTGAATTCATGTGTTATGATTCTCATCATATTGGACTCTTGGGTATATTTTCTGTGACTTCATTTAGATGTGAGTGGGTACGTTTGCTCAAAAGAGTTGTGCTTTGTCTCGTAGTGTCGCTTCATTTACTGCTTTTAATAATCGTCCTGGTCTCTAAACATATGAGACACACTGGTTATAAACTGTCCGTGTGAAGAATGAACCTATAAGAGTCTGTTCATTCTTGGTTAAAGACTCTGGTCTCTCTGAACACTGTTCTCTCTTTGGAGAACGTCATGTGAACTAACTTCTCTGACTCACGTATTATTCTCCTGCTCTTCCTTTTCTTTCCTCGTCTCTCCCCCGGTGTGTGTACATCTCGCTCGGGAAACTTGTCAGAATACCCATATTTGATTGGCTGAGCTGCATCACGTGATGTGATTTATAATGCATTGGGGTACATCCCAAGTCTCTTAATTGCATCCCCGTTTCCCTCACTTGCGTCCTTTCCTTGCGTCTTAGTCCCTCCCACCAGGGATGCATGGAGGAAACCATGCGAGGAGAGAGGAACGAGGAAATATGTTTTTAGAGACATGAGACGTCCTTTCCTCAGTAGCGTCACGTGAAGCGACGTCTGTTTCTGATGATGGAGGATCAGCTGATCACAGCTGGATCAGCTGTCAGTTGGCTCTAACAGCTGGAGAGACTTTTGATATGTTTGTGTCTGTTCACGTGATCACTGTACTTAATAATAGTAACTAATAATACTAATAACTAATAAAGACACACAGTAATCATCACTGTAGAGGTGTTTCTCTCTGTAGTGTGTTAACAAACTGTGTCCTGTGTTCTGTTCAGGATCCATTTCTACCGGCGGATTGCGATTGTCTTATTTATGAATTATTTGCGTCTGTACATTTTGAAATTGTGACCGTGGCGTCATTATTAAATAACCCAGAATATGATTATTGTTTCTCTTAAATGATAAAAATCATGCAGCTGGAATGGATATATTCATGGATGTATTCATAATAAAAGTTATTGAGGGAAACATCAGATCATGAAAACACAACTCATTCTAATAAATGAAGAAAGTTGTTTGTGGTCCTTTTGTTGTTCAGTCTACAATGAACATTTATTTAAACCAGACGGTGAATCAGAAACCTAATCAAATATAAAGCTTGAGTTTATTCTGTGATCCGTCTTCACTCTGGTATGAAACTCAAGTCAGTCAGGCCGATCGGCTGCAGCGTCCAATCACATGACTGATGAACAATGAGGGGGCGTGTCGGCCGTTAAAACACTTCCTGGAAGTCTGTTCTCCTGGGTCCTCGGTCATGGCTCCGAGGAGGATCGAGGAGCGAGGAAATGACAATTAAGAGACTTGGGATGTACCCTTGGTTGGTGTGTTTCCTGCACCGCTGAACAAGTGCCGTAAAGGCTGAAAAAGCTGCGCCGGTTAAAATAGAATCGCTCTGTCAAAATAAAATGGGTTTTAGGTCCTGGGTTCGGATACAACTGCGTCTGGGTCCGGATCCGGGCCGCGGTCCGCCAATTGGCGACCCCTGCTCTAGAGAATCGTTTTGTGTGAAAACAGAGATTATTTCAGTTTAAAGAAATCACATTACAATCGGCGATACAATGGCGGCGATACAATGTTGTGTGAAATAAATGGATAGTTTAGACTTCTACCGGAGGTAAACCTCTAGAGAGTCGTGTTAGAATACCTAGCAAAGGAATTCCTTCACAGTATTATGTTGAAATTAAGATACTTCCTACCGGAGGTAAACCTCTAGAGAAGTGTATAGAGGGGTGAAACACACTGCAATAGGAAAACCTATTGCAGTGTGGAGTCCAAAGCTTATGCAAGAGAGCAAAAGTTGAACCGAAGACAGAGCGAAATATCACTGCTTATATCCTGTCCTCCGCTGAAAGCGGAAGTAGGAGGTGCCTGCCTCTAGCCCGTGGCCGCGGAAGCGGGGACGCGCTCTGCTGAGTATGAAAGCAGAAAGGTGGGGGCTCACCATATATGGGTAGTCAGCGTTTCCTGCTTCCAGCAGCTCGCTCTGCGGTGGAGGAGCAGCAAAGGTTGGGGCTGACTGTGTTTGGGTTGTCAGTGTTTTCATATCCTGACCGGCGCAGCCGTCAATAGTGTGTAGGCAAAAAGAACCACACACAGGTGAGCTGGATCAATGAGTCAAAGAATAATCAATATTGAGCTCCTAAACTACATTGCTCAGCTGATTCTATGCTGTTCATCTTGACGTTGCTCTGTCTACACATTCATGAATACATTCAATGTTTGTGTTTCTTCTGCAGATCGCCGTATAGGTGTGAAGGCAGAGGACGCTGGAGCTGCGCTGCTGACTCTGAATCTGCTCAGACACAATGTCAAACATGCCAGGAGGGCCGCAGCCTGTCTCTGGGTGATCCAAGTCTTCTCTTCATCAGGTAGACACGCACGCATAACTTTTTCCCAAATGGGGACACAGCTCTCGTCCACAACTGGACAAGCCTTTGATCTGAAATATATCCACAAAGGTAGCCAAAGTTAGGAATATAAACACACACTCATATCTGTACTTCTATCTTTGTGAGGACCCTCAACCACACAATGCATTCCCTATCCCCTAAACCTGACCTATTCCCAAGTTTAACTACCTTCGAAATGCCTTTGAAGGAGTTAGGATTGGCCAAAATGTCCTCATTTCCAAAAATGTCATCACTCTGTAGTTAATAACTTGTTCTGGTCCTCTCGATGTAGCAAGTACAATAACACACACACGCCCCCACACACACAGGGCTCTCACTGAAATGATTTATGGTTCACTTTCACTCTGCAAACATTCCTCCCCCGTTTATTTTTCACTGTCTCAGTACTTCCCACTTCCCACATTTTTGTATCAACTATTTATTTCCCCTTACAACATTTACTATTATCCTTGTTGCTTATATGAGCACTCAGAGTCAATACAGTGTGAGCAGTGTTCACCCACTAGATGTCAGTGAAGTAGCAACAAACCAAACACACAAACTGGATATATCAACAATCAATGCTGCAGTCATTTTCAGCCGTGTGTGCTTTGAATCTTCTTATACATTATCATTACTTTATAAGAAACGTGGTAAAAATGAAAATGTTTTTTGAATCATCATTTGTTTTAATGTTTTTTATTGTCAGACTGTTCTCACTTCCGGGACTCCAGTAGTAACCCATAACTCTGGCATGAATTCTGTCTAGTAGCGTTGACCTTTCACTCTTTTCTACCCAGTAACATTATTCACAGCTCCTCTGCTCCTCTTCTAAGAAGACGTGTCGTGTCATTTATCAAACAGGCTCAGCAGCCTGGAAGCACAGTTTGTCTGAAGAGCAGGTGCAAATAGCACAAGTGCATAGGTGGTTCATTCTTTGATATCACAGCCCGCTCTCACCAGTTGGCGTATGAATGACATGACAATTTGTAAGTCATTTTGCGATAAGATTGCTTTTCGCGTATCATTTGTCTACCTTGTAGTCTGAACTGACTGCAATGTAAACACATCAGCATGAAAATGCGACGCTCTAAACAAGGGATGTGGTGTAAAATGTGAGAGAGACTGCTTATGGTCGGTGGGCAGCTCAAACAAACACAGGACTTGCAACCAGGAGGCCTTTTTTCTTTGTAGCTACATTTTGCGCTTCTTTATCATTAAATGATTCAAAACTCATTCATTTTGATTGATTAAAACAATAAGCACTACACTACTACTTTTACTTTTCGCCGTCATGTTTTCAGTTTGTCACACCTTTTCCTTTCAGTTTCTACAGCAAACCTAATAGGAGCAAACCATGGACTGGATGTCATCTATCACCTCATCCCCCAGTATACCACCAAACATCTGCACGCCATCAAGTATGTATACCCAGTGCTTTTTGTGTTTGACAGTGATACCCTGACATGCCCGTATCTCTTGGTGACTTATGCCAGGACAGGAGAAACTGGAGAAAGTGGTCACAAACAGTCCCTAGACACTACTGACTGAAAGACAGATACCCCCTGCGCTGTCGTCATATGCGGATAATACATTTTGGGTTTGCACCACCTTATGCTCAATTTTGCTTAATTTAGACTTGTTGTCTGTGGAATCATTATTCATGCCATCTATATGTAACAAAAGCACAATACACTTATCAGTGTAAAAACAAGATGGTGGGCGTTTGTAGTTTAATATGGCATATACATTTAACAATTGTTTTTACAATAGTACCTGCTAATTAGGAAGTTCTTGTTTGAGGACATTGGGAATATATTTTCAAACTTTATTCAGATTTGAGACACGCCAAGTTTGGAGTATGGAGCAAGGATCATTTATACAGAGTCATGAAATGTTGAACAATTAAATTGTTTGCAACTTTGTTTCAGGCATTGAAATGAACAGTTATACTTTGTTACACACTGGTGACATTATTGTATTATACAGTAAAAAAATAGCAAGGGAAAATTAAAAATACCAAACAAAAGTTTGGGTGTCGGGAGGTTGACAACAGTACAGTACAAAATTATCACTTAGTCATCACCTCCAAGCTAGCCTACCAGCATTAGCTTGCAAGTGTCAGCTACTGTGTAAATGAGTGACAGTCGACGGGGGTTATGGCCCCTGGCTGACCCACAGCATGAAATAAAATCCTTCCTTCAGAACCCACATCCACACCACAAAGATGGGGCCACTGACATTCAATGACTTGTGGTTTCAATGAGAAGTTTATTTACAAGTTTTTTTCTGGAGCTTGAATTTGGATCTTACTGGCCAACAAGAACAAACAAAGTAAATTGTAACTAATGACCTCTTCACCTTCTTTCCCTTTCATTTATTTTGAATGGTCTCAGATCCAAATGTTGGCGTGTAGAAATCCAGTATGATTTTTAATTTTAATCTGAAGATATCTTTTTCAATTCCACAAATTTGATGATTTTTTTGTAAACACAGCCAGGGTCATCTAACATACATAGATACATAGATATATCATGTATCTACGTCGCCTTCTGTAACAAACTCTTGCTACCCCTGTGGGTCCTGAGAGCACAAGTACGCCAGCACAATTAGTGTTTCTCAACCACTCTTTATTTAGTTATTCAGTCTTAATTACAGAGGCTGGACTGGATCGTACGCTCTGCTGCCTTCCTCCGAGCACACGCCGTGTGGGTTCTCCCCAGGTCTACCGATTTCTCTGCCCACGGCTAGTCTGTGTCTCTTGCCTCGCCTTCCTCCGCCTCCGTCACTACTAGTGTTTTTATGTCAGAGAGAGAGACACACAATTTAGATGGGTTTCAGCTGCGCCCAATTAAGCCTCTCCCGGCACTGTTCCCTGAACCACTCCTCCACTCTGTCCCCTCTGCAGCTGAGCCCGAACACGCCCCGCCGCCACACCTTCATTTCGTCATTTTCGTAAAAATTCACAACACACACATTTCTTTAAATAGTACAGCAGTTTCTCTACTATTGTCCTAATGATTTTGGCTGACCCCCTTGGCTTTCTTCTAGGACGCTGTCAGACCAGTGTTGTGTCCCAACAAGACCTAATCACTGTATTTCCATTGCTGTGGATACTGGTGATGCCCACAGGATGTTTTTTGGCAAGGTCTGACATCTAGTGCAGACAAAATCAATCAAAATGTCCACTGTAATGCTTTTTTTTTTACATATAAAGATCAACGAATAACTAGAATTACCATCTAAGGGTTGTATGCCTTCGCAAAACAGCCAAGTTACAGTTTAAGTCTGTCTAAACTGTCTCCACTTTATCCAATTAGACACTAAACATGTGAAATTGTCATAATTAGCACATTCATTCTTGAGTTATGGCCAAGAATATTTTTTCGTGAGGTCACAATGGCCTTGAACTTTGACCACTAAATTCTAATCAGTTCATCTGTGCCAAATGTGAGGACATTTCCTCAAGGCGATCATGAGACTTGAGGTCACAGTGATCTTTGACCACTGAATACAAAATCAGTTCGTCAGCTCGCCAAAGTGGATGTTTGTGCCAAATTTATTCCAAAGAAATTCACCCAAGGCATTCCAGAGATATCACAAGAATGGTATGGACGTGAGGTTCACAGTGAATAAAATCAAATAGGTTTATCCTTGAGTACAGGCAGGATGTTTGTGCATATTGGAAGAAACTCCCTCAAGGTGTTCTTGAAATATTGCGTTACCAAGAAAGGACCGGATGGACGGACAACCTGAAAAACATAACATGTTTCTAGACTGCATCACAGAGGCCGCTTGTGGAGCTGCAGACTTTTGGCGTGATGGGAATTAGGCACTATGGAACTCCCAGTAACTGTCTGGTTCATTAGAGCCAGATATGTGAAATGCGCACCATCTCCATGCACAAACTGCATGGCAGTATTACAGTTTACAGGGAAACATCATCATTGTATTAACATATTCTTGGTCTCAACACATCATCATTTCCCCGGAACTTGTGAGTAGACTCCAGCTCTTACTTAAGCTACCGTCCTTCTCTTCTTAGCTTGTATGTCTCCTTACCATCTGTCTCTGTCAGAACTGATGGCATTTGGCTCAAGGATACCCAGTGCGGCATGCCAAGAGCACTTGGAGTACCGGCCTCTCTCTGCCTGGCTTCATCCCAGGCATACCAGCCCCTGATCAGCCACTGGTGAACATGAAACTCCCCGGTGGTGTGAGGGAATCGGATGCTCTGACACAAATTTATAGCCGTCAGGGTGAGTCTTCTGTATCATTTTCATGCAGAAGCCAGCTGTTAATTGTCGTGACACAATTAGAAGACTCTGGGATTCCAGATTTCAAAGCCGCCTGATACTTTGGATAATTTGTTAGAATTGGCAGCTGTGAACTTCTGCGATGTAAGTGGAGCAACGAGGCAGGAGATTTGCTATTTCCCCCAAAGAGTAAGAGGCAGTTAGACATGTCTGTCACAGTGATTTATCCAATTATTGCTACGATATGGCAACCGTTAGACATGCCGGATGGCTGCGGTGTACACTTTTAAAGCAGTAAAAGTCAGTCAGTCAGCTGTACAACTAAATCTGTCCATCTATTCTCAACTGTCAACAGCACTTAATCCCCCAGTCCCCTCGGTTAGACTGCTGGGCACCGCAGCACTCTTTACTATCCTCTTTTAAATTGTTGCAGGTTTGAGCTACTGTTGACTACTAAGAAGTATTTTACTTTGACAGGTTTTGATATGAGTAGTTTTTAAATGGAGGATACTCAAATTCTTAATGTCACTTGTACTGACTCATAATATACTACCAATAATGTATCATTACTCATGACTCAAACTTCCCTAGTTGCCTTTCCTTTTGTTGACTTATTATTTACAACACAGGGCAAAATGCAGTAGAACATATCTACAACCATAAAACGTTTTAAACGCTAAAGTAAACCACATTCAGGTGTGGTCTACAAATATTATTTTCCATAACAAATTCTGTTGACCCATCGACCACGGTGAGTAGAAGCCAGTCTGTTTAGGCCCCGGCAGCTGTTGTGACCTCCATGAAGCGAAATACGCCACAATGCAACACCGTGTTCAAACATGTCTGCATTCAGCATGAAATCGTTTAATTCATGGAATGGATTGGAAATGGAATTAAGGCAGATTCTTTTACTTCCAACCACTAACATCAAGTGGGCTGAGAAGCCGTGTCTGATGCTCCGTTTCATTACTTCAGACAGTGCCATGTCTACACACACACACACACCCTAAAAACAAAAAGCGCTGCCCATTATTCTGAAACAACATCTATGGGATAGTCAAGTGTATCTAGGCTAGACATTTTTAGTTTTTACTGTTTTTCCATGGATGAATGTTATGTTATGTTTATTTGATTTGATATGGACATCACAGTGGCTTTAGTATTGTAACATCCATTCATGCACAAGGACCAGATGCCCTGTGTTAAGTGTTTGTAGCGAAAAGAGAGGCGAGTAACAAAATATAAAAAACCTAACGTCAGGAGCAGGGAGGATTATAATTCAATAAAATTTCATTTATATAGCCCAAAATCACAAATTTGCCTCAGAACAACGCAAAGATAAAATTAATTACTGTTCTTTACATCTTTTCCCATCAAGAAACCAATAGATTTGCATTTCGTGACTATTTCATGAACTGCCGTGAGACTCTGTAGTTCTTCCACATGGGTTACAGATTTGTAATAACAATCTATATTTTATTAAATCACATCTTAGCGACTAAATTTAAATCAATGTTGTGATTATGTCTATGTGGAATGAGGTCAAAAAAGATCAACATACCAAAGGGTATTTCATTTGGGAGTTATAACTCCTGCAAGGTCACCTTTGGTAGTGGTTGTTCTTTAAACAGCCATTTCATTTGCACTGTGTTGATTGTTGTTGATTTTTAATATTTCTGAGATTTGGAGGACTATTCATTTGTATTGATCCCTTCCATAGCTGTAACATGTGCACCAATGGTAACAGTAACACAGCTGTGTGCTGGGGCCTTTGAAGATGTGTAGTGTTTCCCATCCTCAGTAAACATAGCGCTTGTGGCCCAGAGATCGTGGCCTCTTGTCACACTTTGGACGCCCTGTTAGTGACACCTTGCTAGCAACACTACATTGGACAGTGTCACATTCTTCATCTCTGTATTCACACACACACACACACACACACACACACACACACACACACACACACACACACACACACACACACACACACACACACACACACACACACGTGCAGTCTTAATAAATGTTCTTCTCTCAAACAAGGGCTGGATAAAAAAAAACTATAAATTACAAAATTTTTGAAAAATTGGGCTCTTCAAATAAAGTACTTAATTTTAGAGAAATGAATTCAACTGAATTATCCTGCAGCTTTAATTCAGTTCATTCAGGTGTGAAGTGATGTCAACCAAAAAAACAATATTTTATTTTTCTCATCTTCTAATAAGAGAAAATTGTGAGCATGGACTTTATCTGTGGTTATTAAACCACTTGTTTCAGCTCCATTCTCTCTGTTAACATCATTGGACAGTGAACTAATGTGTTAGCATTCTGATCATATTTGGCTCTTAGGTTTATTTTCTGTGACTTCATTTCAGATGTGAGTGAGTACGTTTGTTCAAAGGAGTTGTTTCTTGTCTCGTAGTGACTCTTCACATTGCTGCTTTTAATAATCGTCACGGTCTCTGAACATATGAGACATACTGGTTTTAAACTGGTTGTGGGAATATTAAACATTTAAAAGTCTGTCCATTCTTGGTTAAAGGCTCTGGTTAAGCTGTCCACTTTTCTCTTTTTCGAGCGTGTCAATAACTTCTCAGACTCAAATACTTTTCCCGACTGTCGGGTCTCCCTCCCCTCTCTCCCATGAGTGTGAATATTGTACTCGAGTCGAGGGCGACGCTTATCGGAATACGAGTAGCGTCACATGAGATGGTTTACAGCGCATAGCGTTGTGCTTCCTGGACCGCTGAACGAGTGCCGTAAAGGCTAGAAAAGCTGCGCTGGTTAAAATAGAAGCGCTCCTTGAAAATGTCATAATTCTCTGTTATAAGTCAAGGGTCCAGATACAGCGGGTCCGTCTATTAGTGACCCCTGCTGTAGAGGGACCAAAGAAGCATTTACCTTCTTACAGTTAAACCTGACCTGCTTCTGTACTGAAAAACTTCAGGATGTGTTGAGGTACTGCCAAATGATCATGACTATGACTCATGAAACAATCAACACAACTTCGCATTATAAAAAAAGACCTCTTGAGTAGATTTCAATTTTCGTTCCAGGTAAAACACTGTGGTATAAAGTATACACGCGGAAACTAGACTTTGACATGTCTTTGACCACGGATAGAGTTTTTAAAGCACATCCATAATCACACCAAGTACTATTCTAAAATATGTCACGTAAAGTTTTTTACGTTATTGATTTTTCTGGAGTTTTTCATAATTTTTCTATTTTATTAAATCCAAGAATATACTGTGATGTTGCATGCAACTCCCAAACGAGCTAGAACAAATACACACATCAGACCCACTATGCCTGTGTCCGTGTGTTTTTTGTTATTCATCCCACTCATTTGCACACTAGTGTATTATGTACAATTTGCATATTGATGTGTGTGTTAATATATATGTCTGAAAGGCCAACTGCCCCCCTCTGTTTATTTTCCAGGGCAGCCATTGATGCCTTTGCTGCTCTGCTGTGCACAAGTAAGTTTGTTTCCTTCATCATTCACCAGCTGATGGTTTCCATCATACTGGGTGTACATCATCATCATCGTCACTATACAACACGACTCACACCCTTTCACCGGGTGTCTCTGTTTCTGAGGCCAATTTTTCTTGTTTAATGATCTATTTCTCTTACTACATGGATAGCTGCTCATGCTATAGTGTGACATCTCACTTGATTATGAGAAGCATTTTCCTCTCTGTACAACTCAACAAGTAAGGAGGTATGTTGTCTCCATAATAGCCAACATAAACTGCCGGGTCTAGCGGAGGAAAAAAGGAATGACATTTACAAGAGCTGTGTGCAGGTTTTAGAAAGTACTGTAGCAGAAAACCAGAGTAAGGGTTCATAGACAGGCCAGAGTCAGCATGCCTACATTCTCATACTGACAATGCTGACATGCTGATGTTAAGCAGATATAACGTTAACCATGATCACCATCTGAGTTTAAGTTGTCAGCATGCTAACATTTGCTAATTAGCTAAAGTCCAGCTGAGGCTAATGGGAATGTCATTAGTTCCACAGGTAGTTGGTCATAAACCAAAGCATGGACCCTTTTATAGCCGACATCATCAAAAATTTTATGCGCATGTTGGCAACGGAAGCAGTGTGTTTTTTCCCCAGCTATTGAGACAAGTTTTATAAGCATTAAACATTGAATTATGTTCGGTTTTCGGAATGGATATTCCAACAGGGCATTCAGTATTACAACGGTTTCAGAGCAACAGGTGTTTCAGTTTAAAGAGTGACCACGTTTATTAGGTGACTTCAGCCAAATGCGTCGTGGTTGCCAGTGTATATATATATATCTATATCTAGATATCTATATCTAGAGATATCTATATCTAGAGATATCTATATCTAGAGATATAGATATCTAGAGATATATCTAGAGATATAGATAGATAGAGATATAGATAGAGATATAGATAGATAGAGATATAGATAGAGATATAGATATAGATAGATAGAGATATATATATATATATATATATATATATATATATATATTACAGTAAGATACTATAATAAAGCTGGTAAAATCTAAAACAATATGTGAACTTAAACTTGGGATGTTGGTCTCTCCTTATCAAGACACTGCTCAGCCTACTCTACTGTTTTTCAGGATTCTATTTCATGATTTACCCACTTCAATATGAAAAAAATGGAAAACAGTAATTTTCCTTTTTTGGTGCCCACAAAATACGTGTCAAATACTGTAATGTGACAACCCGCTCATTGGGTAACACACACCAATGGCACCGCCAATTTTTTGCCTTGGGCCCTCACCCCCAAAATTAAGCACACGCTCGTGTGCACACACAGCCACTCCAAGGCAGTGTTCCACACGGTTTCATAATTAACCAAAACTGGGTGGGATTTATTTTGGCGGGTCAGGGGTGGCCGCTCGGTGTGGCAAGATCCCCGTCGTGAGATCTCATTCTGAGGCTGGCTGGCCCTCACCGAGCCCATTTATGACAAGCCACAATCGCAGGCTCTAGGTCGGAATGGGGGGAAGGTGCCTCGCGACTCCGAGCTTGAGCTTCACAGCACCCACAACTACGCAGTGTCTACCTAAATGTAGCTCTGATGTTAACATTGTGATCATAGATTGAATTGTTTGCTGAACAGACTAGCGTAGCGAGCTGGCGATATGACTGAGCTGCAGTTCTAATCAATGACAAAACATCGATCAACATTGGTCAAAAACCTTCAAATTTAATTTGAGAAAGATTTTGGTAAAATATTAATGATAGCATTTAAGTTTCTGACCATTTATATGAAGACACAATAACAACCTTGAGGGGGCAGTTTTTTTAAATTTCCTGAAAAGTTAAGTTTTTTGACGTGCAAGGTTTCAGTCCAACAGCAACAAGTTGCCATCACATTCAGCATTATTGTTGAATAGTGACCCAGAAGGTGCGCAAGAGGGCCCAGCTTGAATAACAAAGCTGCAAAAAAACCTGTTGTCCTATGGGCCCCTGTGCAGCTGCAGCCCTGATATATAATGGTCAAGAAAAGCCATAGACTATGTTAGAAGTGGACGTAGTCATTGTGATGTTACCCATTGGTTTGTGGACTGCCGCTTTGAAGCCTCGAGTTCTGCGATTTCACTGTCTCCATCTTGGATTACGACCGTAGCCATGTTGTTTGTTTTGCAGCCAATGAACGGAAGTTACCGTATTTTGAATGCGGAGGATTGATGTAGAGACGTCGTACGTGTGTCTGGTAGCAGCAGCGACCTGTCAGTCACAGTAAGCCCCTCCCTAAAGCATCCCCTGCTTTATGGTCTGTTTGACTCTAAATGGACCATAATGTACTAAATGAACATCATGCTGTATTGAAGAAGACCTGAAACTAGAGATTGAGACCATAAACTCATGTTTACTGAGATAATAAATCAAGAGAGAAGTAGAGTCATTTTCTCATAGACTTCTATACAACCAGAGGAGTTGTCCCCTGATGGTCATTAGAGAGAATGCAGGTTTAAGAGTCTTCTGCATTGGCTTTACTCGGCAGAACCGGAGGTTGCCGCCTGAGAAAAGCACATATTCAAGTCAAACCTTGTATAGCTGGCAGGAACAAATGATGGCCAGTTCCTAATAAAGGCTGGGTAAAAAAAAACTCTACCTCTACAAGAATATAGCTGACATGATAAATTAATAGAGGGGGAAACTTGAGTGCAGCAGAGTGGTGAGTTTGACATGACTCTATTGTTGTACTGATTGAATTAATGCTGTGGTCATGGAGGAAGTGGTGAGTTAACCGGAAAACTGGGGGAATTAGACAGAAATAAGTGTCAGGGAGTTTTGGCGTTATTAAGCGGGGTTCAGGGACTGAAGTCTGACTGTGTAAAAGCATTTTTTAGATTGTTCACCACAATTGGTGTAAAATACAGGTTTCGAGAACAACATCTCTTCCACTGCAATAACGCCTCATCGGAGCTGAGATGCCTACATTTGTCTGTCTGTGCCATTTGAGACGGGATTCTCCACAGCAGGAGACAACCGTAAGAGGAAGAGACACTTTCTAAATTTCACGGCAAATTGTTTTGTTTGTTTTCATTCTCACACATTTGACCAATCGTCAAAAGACTTGAGGATCAGAGTGACCCAGAATCTCTACACAATCGCTGTCTCAGGGCTGTTTGATCTCCATCCTGTTAAACTGAAGCATTTTTCCAACTACTTTCCTCTTATCCTCTTCTCTTCCCTTTCCCTCTCTCCTCCGCTCTTTTCCTTTCTCCTCTCCTCTCCCTCCATCCCTTTTATATCCTCTTTTCTCTCCTCTCCCCTTTCCCTCTCTTCTCTTCACCTCTTTCCCTCTCTTCTTTTCTCTCCTTTTTCCCTCTCTTATTTCCTCTCCTCTTTCCCTCTCACCTGTCCTCTTTTCTTCTATCCTATCCTCTCTTCTCCCTCCATATCTTTTGTATCCTCTTTCCCTCTCTCCCCTTCTGTCCTCTCTTCTTTCCCTCTATCCTCTTTTTACCCTTCTGTAAATCTCCTCTTTCCTCTTTTCCCCTTATGTCCTCTCCTCTTTCCCTCTGTCCTCTCCTCTCTTCTTCTCTACCTCCATCCCTTTCGTATCCTCTTTTCTCTTCCACCCCTTTCCCTCTCTCCTCTCTCCCCTGTCCTTTTTCCAGCTTTCCATTTCCTGTGAGCATGAGTGTGTGATGGTGGATCTATGAGTGGCGTTGAGTTTGAATTGGTTTCTGTCCCTGATCTTTGGGTTGTCTACTGCGTTTCATCATCTGTTTACAGTATGTGCATGATCAGGTAAGTCTCTTTAACTGTTTTACTGAGTTGTGTGTCGAGTGAGCAGGTAGGACACGATAAACTCTCCTTTGCATCAAGAATGAACAAAGCAGTGGTTGTGTTCTTGAAAGAAGGGCCTCGTGTCTCTCAGCTGATCGAGAGCGGAGTGTTTAACAGGGACGCATTTGTGCAGGTCTCCCCGCTGTCAGCTCCTTCCATGCGGATTACGCCGTTTATCCCTAACGAGTTGTTAGAGAAATAGCTCCGGAGGTTTGGTAAATTTGCCAATGGATTAAAGACAGGGAGTTTGGGATGTAAAGATCCCAAACTGAAGCATGTTGAGTCCCTGAGGTGGCAGGTGTTCATGTTTCTGGACTCACCGACTCAAAGACTGGAGGTGTCCTTCAGAGTGAAGCACGGTGACGGCTCCTACATGGTGTATACCAGCTCAAGACAGCTCAAACATTTTGAGTGTGGAGATGTGGCTCACAAACGCTTTGCCTGTCCGCATAGAAAGCAGTCCGGCTCTGCTGACATGGGCACCCCGCCTGCGGCTGACGAACCTGGGGCCGGGCCCGCAGCCACAGCCGCGGCTGGCGGCCCTTCGGCCGGGACAAGAACAAGGATGAGAAAGAGCAAAGCCAAGCTGAGGAGCAGCATGCTTCTGTTGCTGCAGAGAACAGCAGCTCTCAGACTGTAGAATCTGAAGTACAACCCCAGCCAGCAGAAAATGTGGAGGAAGCAGCCTCCACAAGTGTTAGAGGCAGAAATGAGGAACAGTGTTTCTAATCATCAGGTGTCATGTGGAGAAGACATGTATTATGACACTGTAACACGTTCCTGTTACCACGGTGGGTTTCCTAGGCACAATGACGCCAGCACACTCATATAGCGTCTCTCAATGTATTTTATTTTGCCACAGTTCAAGCTGGTCTCGGCCGTGCGCTCTGCCGCCGTGCGTTCGAGCATCCCCAGCCGTGGGCGATTTCGTGGGGGCTGTCTCTCGCTCCGGCCAGCCTGTGTCTTGCCTCGCGCCTCCGTCCCTACTGCCGTTTTTATAGGAGATATATACAATCAGAGACTGATTACAGCTGAGGCTGATTACGCCTCTTACCAGCACCGTTCCCTGAACCACTCCCCTCACTCCTACCCCGCTGCAGCTGAGCCCAACCACGCCAAGCCACACTGAGTCAGACACAGCATCTGTTAGTGGAACCTCCAGT